ATATTCTGTAAAAAAAATTTAGGTAAAATGTGTAATACGAGGCACCACTGGTCAAAGCCAATATTCACTGGCAATCAGCCACTAAGTCTTCAAAGGATGTGATTATAGTAAACTTAATAGGTAGACCTACGACCCAATGTTTCCCCTTTAACTTGCTATTATAATTTATTGCAATGTTCACCTCAAATTTATTCCTTAGTGTACTGACTTTTTGAAACCAGTAAAGGGATTCGAGAAAGCAGAGGTATCCTTCGAGGTAAAGAGCATCAGATCTTAGCTCCACAAGCGGGTGTGGTGCGTTAGGAACGAAATGGTCGCGTCGCGGTAAGAGGGGCGTCGCGCGCGAAGGAATGTAGCAGGATGCAGCAGTAGGTAAGAAATACAAGAACAAAGGTACTAATAGTAGAATTATGCATAAAATAATGATCGCATATCGATTGAGCTGTATGAAGAACGCTAGAGCTGTAATAACGGCGAATGAGTGGTCCGCGACAGCCGCGTGCGGCAAATCGACTACCCAAAATCGTTCCTAACGCCCGTCTCCCCTCCACAAGCTACCTACTGTGCAACCATCAGAGAAGAAAACTCAGCACGGCTTTTCAGTCATACAAAAACTTACCGTGAAATAAAATGCATTGAACGCAGTATCAAAACATTTTCTTTCACAGCATGACCCTATTTAAATACACAAATCCACACCCGTCACATATACGACGTATCGAGAAGAAAGGAGCACCAGCGGCGTACCACGCGCACTCATTCGTGTCAGGACCCATAGCCGGGATTACAGTGGGACATATGTGACGTACTGAACTACTGTTTTTTTGTTCGAATACGCCTCTTTGCCTACTGAACTAGAGGTGGTACTGCCGATTTTAGAATCGGAGGACGCGTTCGATAAGTAGTACAACTGAGGACAACGTATCTGTTTTCTGCGGTCCTCTCTTCGTGCTAATTTTGCTCCCTGCATTTACGTTTGAAGCCTTCTTAATATGATCTTCCTCGTTTATCTTCTATTCGATGGTTTCAGTGCTTGGGTTTTGCAAAATCAAGGTTTGCACGAGTTAATGAAAGCAAGGGATCTGAACCTGTTACCGTCGATGTTTATGTTTTCCGTAAAACTTTAAAAATGTTTACAAAAAAAAGCAGTAACAATAATGCGAATGAACTGAAGGGGAATGAGGGAACGTATGTATGTTAGAGGTGGAAGGCGACGTGATGATCAACCCTGAAAGAAGGACGAGTGGACCGGTCAGGGCCGACGACCTGACAGCACCTCATCTTTTTGACTGACACTAAGGATATTTTTGTCCGGAATCCGTAAAATGTGCTGAGATTTCTGTCGATATGGATCTCATCGGACACGTCGACCTTGATCGATCCAGTTGCATCAAATCCATGGACCCTTTCCAGTGTCCAGTGTGTCTAATCCAGTGTCAGGCCTTACTTAATCTCGATTTCTCAGTATCAGCTGGTGCACAACTTATCGGAAAATTCAGAACAGCCTATTTACAACTCATGTATGCCAAGTACTTGACACTTGAAAAATGCGATTTCTTGGACAATAGAGAGCTTTTGGAGCTACTGGTGCAACTGCCGATTTCTCAGACGTCGAATAATGCTTTAAATGTGCTCGCCATCCAAACAAATAGTAAAATCTCAATCGGAAGTCGATTCGGAAGTAAATATATATAAATAACGGGATAGATGAGTGTATCGCATAGAGGCAGTAGAGGGTTCCTGAAATAATGTAAGTAAAAAACAAAAAATAAAACAATACAATTCAAACACCATCCGTCTCTGTCTCATATAATCTCATATGATTAGCGTGTATCTCAAAGGAATGTCAGAGCATAAACTCTTCAGTAGCTAATACTGGCCCACCGAAGGTAGGTGGATGGAAAAACCGAGCAAAAAAAAAAGCTCCAAAGTGCAATTATCAATTAAAATCGGCAGGCACTCGATTCGAAATGCACTTACAAAGGACAAATAGGAACAGTACTTACATCAGTTACCATCACAACTTACCATTACTTTATATGACTGACTGTCTACTTCCTCATAATTATACTTCACTACATTTTGCAAATTACCTACAACATGGAGTGTTTTAGCAATCTCGCAAACCAGGGACCTAAAGTCTTATATAAACGTCCCTTTATCAAATACACGTCATATCAAAACTCTGTCTCCTTCGCGTCCTCAGGAAACGGTGAGAATTCACCACTATGAGAAAAACTTCATTTTTCGCATTCGTTGTGTTTTTTCTTCGTCATAAGAATATTCAGCGCCTACGCTTTCCCTAATGAACTCACCAACTATACGTCACACCACGCACGAAATTCTTGAGGAGCTAGAAAGCTGCTCTAAAACGAATGAACTAAGGTATAACTAAGGTATTCGTTAATTGAATACCATCTTTTACTTCCGTTCATTTAACATGTACCACAACGGGTGGAGATCGTATTGCTAAGTTGCGCACTACATATCATACAAACGATCCTGGGATCGGATCCCGGATTGAAACCCGTCCGGGCCAAACAAGCCTTCATCCCCCGGAGTCGGTTTTCTGGTACCAGAACAGTCAGGGAGGATGCAAGCACTGATTGTACATCGGCTAGCCACTGCAGGTCACTGTGAAGACCTTGTACGCATTTAAAACGCCACTACGACTCTAAATGGAAGCCGAATGTGGTCAAAGCGCATCCTATAACGAATAGTCAATGGTAAAAGACTAATATGCACCTGAATCCGGCACCTGAATTGCCTGAGCAGACTGCCAGCCTTTTCTAGTTAGTGCTAACTACCAAAGAACCTGCGCCTAGCCATCATTGTGGCCTATTGTTTACCTGATAGGCCTACAGTCTACCTGTTTAGGATTTGTTTGTTTCTATTTCTGAAATGGAAAATAAAAACATGCCTATCGATCTACATGTCGCTGCAAGGCATACCTTGGTACGGAACCAGCACCATGATTGCTTGGTTCCTGTACCTACTGACATGAGTGATAACTTGTTGCATGAAGATTTTCCAAAAAGGAAAAATTACGGTCAATTTCTGAGGTAAAAAAAAGGAAAATCCGTGAGTGATTGGCTAAGGTTGTGATTTGACGAGCAACAATCAAACCATCCCCAAAATTTTTGCTTCTCAAGTTCGAAAACGAGCCCAAGAGAATGTAGGATATGCCACATGAATCGTGTTGTCTCGCAACTTCGAAATCTATGGGGAATCGCTCATACGGTCGGAAATTCCACATAACCATGAGAAATTCAAGGGATTAGCTTTTATAGCAACTAATTCAAAGAAATTAACAAATTCTCCAAATAACACCACAGATTTTAGATAGAATGTAACTTCGAGTTCATATTTTCTACTTGGCCCAGTTATTCTGGACCAATATTAGTTGAGGAATGGATCATACCGACTGTCAGTGTGTTCATATCGGGTGCTTTCCATTCGTCCAGAATAAGTGCAAGATTTGGGATTGAAACAAGAAGAACGGAGACAAAGTCCAGAGAAAGGATCATACGCTGCCGTCGTAATTCATTGCCAGTTGGTGCCTGAAATGCTGTTCTACAGTAGTCTTCACTGAAATTTTCCGATTGCATCAACGATTTGTAGAGCTTCCAGAAAGAAATACGTTAAGCTTAGTAACACGTGCTACTCTGTCATCTTTAAGGGCGGCTCCTGACAATGGAAAAACAAAACATCGAAGGGGAAGAAAAAAAGATTTTAGAAAACTGTTGTTTTCCGACAAGATGCACGAACAACTTTACAGAGTCTCGGTGTGCTCAGGGTCCCTCCGATACTATCGAAGGAAATATGAAGGTGGAGGTAAAATGTACTGATGTAAATGTACCAAGATCGCAAAACAGAGTGCTTGAAGGTGCATCCAATGTCTTTTTCACTTGTTTTTTGTTTTCCGGAAGATCAGTTCCCTTTGTCTACCTTCACTTGCTAGGGTGCTACTTGCGACTTACCATTACACCAACGAACTTGTAGCTGAGTAGACCCAAAAAGTCACGTCAATTCCACCAACACTGAACGGTTGCTCTCAACTTCGTGGACGACAATGCAGCAAAGGAAACTGCCCAATCGCTAAACTTGTTCGGGACAGAATCATTAAATACTCGTAGAATTAATGCCCAGGTTCCAAGAAGGTTGAACGTGGAGATAATCACGCTATTATCAAAAGTTCAGTTCACAATGAAAATGGTTCCTGAAAATTCTTCTAAGGACGAATCTGTGATCCTTAAGGATAGTACAAGGGACTCTGATGGATCAAAAAGTAGCCTAGATAGGAGGTAATAAGGAACCCAAAACCGGCATAGCCGACGCACGGGGGACGGAACTTACGTGCGTCCGAGGAAGCGCGCGGCAAATTGTGCGGAGAAGTGCATGGCGGTTCGAACGACCCTGGCGCCTACCATTTGGGCCCAAATTCAAAGTAGAGTAGATTAATAGTACCAGCTGACCCTACTAAACTACTCTACTTCAAGTTTGTGCCCCAATAATAGACGCCAGAGTCGTTCGAATCGCCACGCACTTCGCCGCGCAGTTTGCCGCGCGCATCCTCGGACGCACGTATGTACCTATAACCCCGACGCACGCATCCGAGAGCGGACGAGTTTCCATAGCGTTTTAGATCCTGTAGAGACTACACCATTTGCAGTGGGGCACACATGTTGCACGCCCAGCTTACTGTCGCCAGCTGTACGCAATGGCACTCAATTGGATAGCTCGTCCAAATACCACTACCATGCCACTTTTGTCGTCACATTCTCGTCCAATCCCTAATTTTATTTTTTGGGCGTCACGCTTATCCGACTAGGCCGATTTTCGCATCTTCTTCACCGCCTTTGCACTATTACGTACTACCGCTCCCATAACTCGTCTTAAACTAGATATTCCGAAACTATCGTCAAGCGGATGCAAGGAAAATCTCAGTATGACTCACCCTTCTTTTATTAGATTTGCGAAAAAGATTCCATAGTACTACAAAGCAGAATATGTAAGTAACAGCTATCAGAGAAAAATGTACAGTGCCATAATAAATGCCCGTTGAATTCATCACTGCACATATTCGGTTCATATTAACAACAGGATTAGATAAGTTCAAAGCAACAGCCAGAATAATGAAAAGCTGAAAGCAAATGTTTTTATTGTTATCTTTGCAAGTGAAGATTTTCAATAGTAGTACTTTCAGTAAATTCGAAACTTTCATTTTAGTTAATCAATGGTGGTGCTTCTGTGCGAGCCTACGACGCAGTATAAGAAAATTTCTCATCTATGTAGTCTGCTTACTTACCAATGTCAACGAGCCTGTGAGTGCAACATAAATCTGCTTCTGAAACATTAGCGGCTGTCGTCTATAAAAGGTAGCAAACTGAAGAGCAGCAACTCTGTCCAGAGCCACGAACAAATGCAGTAACGCCGGAATTTGTCCTGAAAACTTTTTGGCTATTAGAGATATTTTCTAGAAAACCTAGATGATTCACTATCACACAGCCAAGTCATTTCGGACTGCCTTATTCATTTCCTTATTACTCAACTTTCCCTATAAACATTTGGTGAGCACGAGTCAGTAACTAACAGCGCGAGCAACCCACCCACGGGTGTTGCGGTTATGTCTCTCTCATCTCAGGTAAAACTGTTTGGCTATGAAATATCTTCACTTCTAAAGGGTGCACCATAGCGAGATTCACAGCCCGTTTTTCAATATGGAATTGAGCTGGGGTCGTTGGCTCATCTATCTGGCCTAATTCTTATCGTACACAACTCAGTACAAGTATTGATTTCACGTGCGACTAATCGATAATCATTCAGTCCGTGCACGTGTACCTAGTCAAATATGCAGAGGCTAAAGTGGCCCTGCTAATTGCATGGAACATAGAGGTAAACGTACCAGCGATAACCATCATCAAACCCCATGGTGTCCGTAAGAGGCATTCCATGCCGCTTACTTCTTGATAATAAAAACCATGAATCAGTGCCGTAGTGCGAAATGTGCCAGCCAACACGAATGAAAGACCATTCAACTAAAAAATGAGCGTATTTGACCTATGGTAATTTTTTTGTGCTAACGTCAGAGACAATCACTAGTGGCTCTTCTTCAACAGTGAGTCAAAATTAATTGGTACATATTCACAAACCAGAATAGTATGGGCCATGCATTCGCTGTCCTCCCAGTAATGGCGAAAACGTTCAGAACAAAACAATATGGGGAGTTCTGGAGCGTAACTAAGCCATGCTACAATCCAACCACCTATGAGACTGGGCTCCGAAATCAACAATCAACTTGTCCTATCTATCACTACCTCAAAAACGGCAGGAATAGCTCCCTTCGAGCAATCAAGAAGAGAGTACCTCAAAATAAACAGGAGAGATCGTGTGGCAAGAAAGGATTACACACGAATCGTTCTTCACACCGTACGAGCCAGAGGGAACTTTCATTCCACTATACGATCCTCACCGCCTCTCAACTCTCATCCTCTTAGCTACTGAAAAATACGTTCTAGGCATAGTCAAGTGATGAAGTTCATAACTAGTCATTCTCGAAAAAGTTATCCTCCGTCTTTCAGGCCCCATTCCTTCAAGTAGCCGAGACGTCAAAACTGCCAAAGGAACCCGAGCACTGCTACCGTATTCATAGGCAATTACAGGTCGCATTTTTCACCACCTCGAAATCTCATCAAATCCCCTTGCAACAATCTTGAAGAATAAAAATCGGAGTTGAGGGGTAAAAACTCAAAAACATTAACTATTAAGTACTTGTCTGGCCTCATTCACATTTGAAGAAAAGAAAGTAATGGTCCTTTTGATTAATAACTATGTGTTCATTAGGAAGACATGTCAATCGTTGCGCTCTCACAAATCTTTTTGATGATTGCTTGGAAACGCTTGTCACTACGGTTCGCACGCACGCATATCGTTCAATCATTCTGCTCTCACAAATTATTATTTTACTGATTGCTTTGAATGGCTGAACACTACGTCAGCAATAAATCCCATCAGCAATGAATAAAAACTTCCTGCTCAGTCGATTAGCAGCCTAATGAGGATAAACGGTCTCTTGCCCGTGATTCCCCATATAAGGTCCCGGATACTTTCTTGGAAACTCGTCAAAGCTCAGTTTTGGCTTCATTCAGCAAACAATATCGGACCAGTCTGTTCCACAGCTGAACAGGGAGGGCACAAGTAGGCTGTTTAGTAGAGACGGGAGGCGGCCTACGGATTACCGTACACCTGCACGTCCCCCAATTTATCTTGGAATCACCCAGTAGCGAGATGTGTTCTATTCAACGTCCGGAAATAGGGAAATGGTGAGAATTTCGAAACAGTAGGTCGTTTTATTAATAAAAAAAGTAAAAAGAATCCTTACAAAATCGCCGACTGACAAAGCCGAAAACATGATGTATTTCTTCCGTAACTCCTTCGTTGATAAAAATACAGTAAGGCATATAAGGCTGGAAATACAAGTTATCGCTCCGAAAATAGTATACAGAATGAATCGAATCTCAAGAGCGGCCTGAAATTAACATATTTACCATACCGAGTTACCGTAAAAGTAGTGCGTGGGCTGTAAGTTACCATGAATCGGCTGCTTGACGATTTATTTATTATGCTTAGATTGTGGGACAGCCAGTGGTCGCAATCATGAAATTCCCACCTCTTTAAACTAATACAACTATCATAAGTTGGTGGGAACACGGGCGGGGCGATCCGGAGGGAAAGGGAAGTTGAGATAGCCACCCACTTACTGTCACAGGCACGAAAATTCAGTCCGGCACTCGGCTCTTACAGTAATCCGGCACGTGTTAAC